GTCGGAAGACCCTTCTGTACTACATTGCTGCTCTGCCAGATAGACCAAGCGTTCTTGATGTGGCCTCCAACGCGGTCCCTTCAATGCTTCTTTTCGGATCACATCGGTAGGACTGGGGCTTGCTTCTTTATCATCAACAGTCTTGTGCGCTCCTCCGTTTAGAATCCATTCGTTGCAACGTTGTGTTACGCTCTGGAGTAGGAAGTCGACGTCCTCCCTCTCACTCTTCAGTAGACCTCTTTGCTGACGTGGCAAACCCTTGAAATAGACGTCTGACAAATCCATGTTCACAGCAGACGTGAAGTGGCTCACAGCTGCATCCCATTCGCGCAAACCACCACAGCCACGGCCACACCAGTATTCGGAACGTGCGAGTAGGCTGCGGCTAGATCTAGCTTCGGCAAGTTGGTATGCTTCGACAGCAAACCTATGAATTCTCTTGTAGTAGGACCGTACGATTGCCTCGGCCTCAGCCTCAGACTGTTGTGCCCGGGGTGTCCGCTCCATGGAGTTGATGATTGACTGCAAAACTACGCAACGATTGAGGTACGTTTGGCATTGGATCAGACCCATGGCTAGCCTAAATTCGTTGCTGGATTTTTCTTCAATGGGGACGCCATTCGCGATGGATTCAGGCGTGACATCCGAATGGGTTTCGTTGCTGATGTGTTGATCTCTTTCTCGAAGGGGTTGACTTAATGGCGATGCGCAGTCGGAAGATTTGTCGTGTTTGGGGGGAGTTGGGAGACTGTTGATGTATGCAGATACATCGTTAGTACGATTCGCGACGCCGTTAAGGGACTCATGGCCGAGGGCAGCGACCTCTAGGGGCTGCTGAACGTTTGCGAACATCGCGATGAGATAATCAGAAGAACAAAGCTCCTAGTAATCTCAGGCAAATGTGTCTTGCGATGGCATAGAACTATCAACTTTCCGACTAAAGATGTTCGTGCTTTGGGGATGTCTCAAGCCGCGCCGCATTTGACATAACGTTGTCTACGATAACTCTTTGTTCAATTCCTGCAGCCTTGCGAGAAAGCGGAAAACGTCAACACAAAGAATGGCACGGCCCCTCAAGTGGTGGCTGAGCCGCCATGTCTGTGCGAACAAAGAAGCGCGGTACCAAAAGTTCATCCCCTGAACGGCGGAGTGCTGCCATGACTTCCCAGGATGACAGACCAGTGTGACATGGTAGTATTACTCGCGGTGATGTTCGTCGCTCTTTGATTTGACCCAGCGGTAGGGCAACGACATTCGTCTCGCTTTCGCGGCGGCGCGCTGCCTAAGTTGCGCACTGGTTCGACGGCGCTTGTTCTAGGAGAGGTCAGTATGCTGTAGGGTGTTTGGATCGACGCTGCGTTACCTCTGTGCCCTTATCCTCCAGTTGGGCGAGCAAGCCTTCCATAGTGCGATTCTCATCAAAGCCCGACCGACGCTTGGTACAGCGCAGCAGATCCAGCTCGTCATCGTAAGACTTGCGAAACTCCCTGGCTTTAGCGGAGAGGTCGTCGTCGCAAACGGTGCTGAAGGCTTCTCGGGCTTGGTGGAGTTGACGCAGCTCATAATACAACAGACTACGCTGGTATTGTATGCGCGGCAAAAAGTTCTGAAGTTCGGAGAGACGGTCGCAGAGCTCTACGGCCTCGCTGCACGTGGCTAGCGCGTCAAGGAGCTCATCGGGGCCAGAGGCCCTTAGAATATTGCTCTTCAAGAGTAAGCCTTCGGCGCGAGCCTTGTAGCTAAGCGGGCCTTTCAGGAGTCGCTCAACCTCGACCAGGGCAGTGCCGTAGTTACGCTGAGCGGTACACTCTTGTGCGCGCTTGAACAAGGGGTGGGTGCACTCTTCGGAGGGCCGTCGCAAGTGAGTTGGCTCGATCTCTTTCGGTAAGCATACAGTGGCGGTACCAAAAGTGAAGTTGACGTGAAGGTCCTCAGTACCGTCGAAGGTAGCAGGACGGTGGTTCTCGCGCTCGCCAGAGATTGTCTGGAGACGTTGTTGTTGAGCCCGCTCGTTTTCCAACTCGGCTTGCGTAGCAAAGCACACGTTTTGCAGCTCGTGTAGGCGGGATGTCTGAGCTTCGAAGGCCGCTTTGTATTGGAGCGCCACAGCCTGCCAGGTATCTCGGTCGACCTTGAGGTCATGGACGATGCGTTCGATTTCGGAGATTTGTTCCATGCTGATCGGCGGCATCGTAGGAATGCACGAATCAATATGTTTGTGGTGGTGTCCAAAATGACGGGGTGGATGTAACTGTTGGCTCGGCTACAGACGAGTTGGTGCCTAGGTGATGTTTAGAGCAAGCGCAACCTACGAAGAGCAGGCGCGGTGGATGGGTCCTGGTCACGCCTTCCCTGGAACCCGCATACTGTAAGTTGCGCCAGGCGTCGTCAGATATTGAAGCCGCCATGCCTCGATGCTTCGACGAACCTCCATAAGCCAGCTTCTTGGGCTGCTCTTTTGACTGATGCGACTTCATCCAGGTCTACAGCGCGATTAATCTCACTATATCGCACGTCTTTCTTAGTCGACGGTGAGGCTTCAACACCGCCTGGCTCAACAACGCCCTGGCTTGCACGGCCGCGTCGCTCCTTGCCCACGTGAGCTCTTGGGAAATACTGCTCCATGATGTGCACCATGATGTCTTTGCTCACGTTCTCGGCAAGCCACTTCACGATCTCTCGTCCCTCGTCCTCCATGCCGGGCATCACCAGGTGTCGCACTAGCACTCCCTTCTTGGCGATGCCGTCAGGAGTGAAGCAAAGGTCGCCCACCTGCTCGTGCATGGCCTTGATGCTCTCCATGGCCACCTTTGTGTATCCGTCTGCTTTGAGTAACCGACGGCTCGTCGCGTCACGCCACACCTTGAAGTCGGGGAGGTAAATGTCTACCAAGCCATCCATCAATTGTATGCTCTCGAGCGAATCGAACGACGACGTGTTGTAGATGATGGGTATGTGCAGACCGAGATCTCGCGCGTGCAGAATCGATAGGCAGACCTGGGGTACGACATGTTCGGGTGTAACGAGGTTGATGTTGTGGACGCGGCCCACGTCCTGCAGCTTCATGAACCACTCGGCAAGTTGCTCTGGTGTCAGGTCGAAGCCATTGCGCTGGTGGGCTATATCATGGTTCTGGACACGGCGTTAGTGCGCATGCTACGACAAAGAGCAAGGCAGCATACCTGGCAGAACACGCATCTCAGGTTGCACCCAGAGAAGAAGACAGACCCACTGCCATTGTGTCCCTGGAAACAGGGCTCCTCTGATCGGTGTCAGCACGAACACGCCAAAAATTTGCCGACTTCAACCCACCACCAAAGTGAGGAGCGATGGTGTTGACCTTGACCGTCTCGGCTCCTATCAGACACGTGCCTGTCGTCTCGTAACGGTTGACACCGCATTGTCGGGGGCAGAGATTGCATTCGCGCAGGTGAGCATACGCCAGTGATCGCTTTTTGGCGGCTTCTACTGAGGAGAGCAGCTGATAGCGCGGTATATACTCGTCCAGTAGGTAAGGCGGCGCGAGGTAGAGGTTTCGTCGGAAGGGTACAGCTCGGGCACGGAACGAGGGGCGTCCAGTAGCACCAAGCCTCAAGGCGGGTCGCGTTCGCCAGCTGGAAGCCATTCTAGCAGGCCCGAAGAGGACATTGAGTTAATCAGACAACGACGCGTAGGGTCAACGCGTGGTGCGATTCTGAGGTTTAGATGCTGCAGCCATAGCGATGACGACAGCCCCACTTGCCGAGGCTCTAAAGCCGCGCTATTTCCGGATTGTCACCCCCCCTTACTGTGAAGAGCATCAGGACGCTTTCCAGGAGCAACTACCTGCCTCCGTGTACTGTCGCCTTCATCCCCGCCTTCGTCCCACGTTACCGTACTACTACATCTCACGCGTTTAGAGTACTTCTTCTTTGCAATAGCTCCGCGCCGAAAGCTTAGTCTGCGAATGGCCGTAGGCTGCTACACCAATGCTAGGCCGGTGGTTTGCTTTTGCACTATATCCAGGAACGATCGAATGGGTTTCAGACGAACCTACCAGCTGGAACCATATCATGGTCTCGTGATATCTTCCCCGCCCGGAGCCCGGGAACACCAGCGACAATTGACCATACGAATGCAATACTCTAGTACGATCTAATCAAACCACAAGCCAATACACTTCAATCAGCATCGTGCGCCCTGACAGAGCGGTGTGAACAGACTAAAGAGCTGCATTACCATCACTCACGCCCACATCACGCTCTTCTGCGTCATCTTCATCCTCTATTACTATGATAATGAGGATTCAGGTAGGACAGCTTAATTTGATACTCAGAGGAAGTGGTATGAGAATACAGATCTGCACAGCTACCCCAACATGGAGCTTGTCGGGCCTAGTCGCTGACAGCCCCCAAGAGCTAACGGACGTCCTCACAGTTAGCAGAAACAAGCTTGCGCATCTGGAGAAGCAGAGACATCCGCCCAAGACAGCATCTTTGGCAACCCACCAAATGCGATCGATCAATTGCTGTAGCTACCCGTCTGGTGCCCCGACAATACCCACATCACGGTCGCCAATACCAGCGTGCCCTGCCGACACGCGAATGACAGGTTCGTCGTACTTTGTACTGTTTCCAAAAGTGGACTCATCGCTGCCCTGTTGAGCAAAACGACCACGTAATCGTGCTACTTGGTCTTGGAGTCGCTCTTGCCTTCTTGGGTGGATCTTGTTTTGGTACTGCTCGGTGTGTTGCAGACCGCGACTTCCCCAGGCACAGCCAATGCGACTTCCTAGCTGCTGGTAGGCAGTCACTTGCCTCGCACAAGAAAATCTGCAAGGACGGCACAGCCGTCATCTTAGCTTGTTAGCCAGCATCACCCAAGCGTCCCACCTCAATACCACTGCACTTCTTCCCCAAGTATAAGAGCATCACTGCGAAGCATCACTACTTCAGCATCGACAGCTTCAGCTTTCACACATCAGCATCTTCCACCCAATCATCGACCCCTCAAACATCAAAATGCGCATCTTCGCTCTCCTTCCCGTCCTCTTCGGCCTTCCAGCCTTTGCGGACCTTGTCGAAACCAAGTTCCCGACATTGCTCCTGCCCATGAAAAGCTCTCAGCCGGACACCGCTTTCTATACCCAGGATGACGCGACCGTCAGCCGCAATGTAAGTGTCTACAAGACCCACAACATGAGCGTGCCAGCTACTGACCCGTCGGTCAGAACAAGACAGACACCGAACAATGGACAGCAATCAACTTCGACGTCCCCCAAATTGACAACGTCAAGATCTGCCGCCTGCGCTTCCTCATCAATGTCGACCCCTTCAAAAACGCTCCACTTACCCTCAAGGGCGAAGCTCCTATGGCTATCAGCATCTCTCGCATCGAAGCCAAGCTCGTCAACGGCCGCAGTACCTGGAACAACAAGCCCGCCATCACCGAACACTACGATGCCTACACTCTGACGGCGAACGGCGCATCCGAGGTAGTCAGCAAATGGTTTGAGTGTCCCATGAAGAAGGCCGCGCAATTCGTCATTCATCCGGCTAGCAAGAGAGACTTGGAGCTCTACTGGTTTGAGCTGAACTACGGTGCCAACGATGGAGGTCCACACGGAGTTGTGCTGGAGATGCACGATTAGGTGCGCAGGCTTCGGATCACATTAGGTTGAGTGGACACAGAGGGTGGGCAGGAGAGGGTGGGCAGGAGAATGAGTGGATGAGTTATCAATGGTGGAATTGTCTCTAGAGATCCTACTATTATCCTAAAATCAGCACAATAAACGCGTTTCCGATACTATGCTTCACATATTCACCACGTCATTCATCTCCCCTCGCCAATGCATAGGCTATCCTCTCCCAGGCCCTCTCCATTAATCCAACTCTTTTTGTGCTTTGCACAACACCAGTTTGCTCGACCCTTATAGTTACTGTAGATTTCAGATCGGTGAACGGTGTAATCTGATGCGTCAGATCCGTCAATTCGGTTACTTCATTGCCTTGTTCGTCAAGTCTTTTGATGACCACGATGCCGGGTGGATAGCGACTCGAATGCGCAGGCATGAAGGTGTGTAGTTCTATGACGCTGTCGGTTCGTGTGCACGACTTCAACGAATTCAGTCGGCTGTGTGGCACGGTCGAGTCTGACTTTTGGGTTTTGTAAGGAGTGTTGTTGTCGACATGGGTGGTGCTTAAGGAGGTTGCGATAGCGGATGGTAATGTTGAGTAAATGGACGGCGTGAGTGTTGAACAAATATGTGGCGTCTTCGAATAAGAAAGAGGTGTTTGTGTCGCTTGATCAGCGTAAAGGTGTTCTCGCGCCGCTCTTCTTCTTTGTTGTGATGACTTGTGTGCGTTGCAAAAGTGGCTAGGCACTTCACCGCGAGCGGAGATTTCGTCGCCGCTTGACGATACAACAGCCCCGTCACTACCAGACTCTTCCTCTCCCCCGAAATCATGGTAAATAGATCCATGACTGCCGTAAAGTTGCTCAGACGGCGAGCCCATACCAAAGCAATCGGCCTTTTGAACGCAAAAACAGCAACACACGAAAGTCGAGCGCGAATCCAAAATGCAAACAGGAACCAGAGGGGCTCTCCAGCTCATGACCAATATATGCCTCAAAGACGGCGTCCACCAATTCCTTTCCAGTTGCGTTATGGTTGTAGAGAAATACCGCACGCTAAGCCCGAATGGTTGTATCTCCAGGATCAAATAGGCCGTGGTAGTATGTGGCGTTCGGTAATGGACGACACCCCAAGCGTTGGATATGATCGGAATTGGAATCTAACAGAAAATGTATGGCATCGAGTATTCGCCGTATGCCGGAGCACTTTGCTTTGGCTTCTTCGCTTGCTTAGCGGTATCCGGCTCCTTTTGAAGGCAGTGCGATGTCTTCTTTGCCAGCTTCTTGAGGCGTTTCCACATTGCTTGATCAAGGCAGTGGCGCGTGGTGCTTATTTCACCAGCTTCACCGGCGACTCTGTCTTCGATGCGCTTGATGTATGCGTCGTCGCTTTGTTTGGTGGGCGTTTGGCAAGAAGGGCGGTTAGAGGTGCCTATAGGTCCTTGAAGCCCAGTTGAGATGTCGTTTTGAGTTTTGGTTGGAAGAGTATAGGCGTGGCTTTCAATGGGAAGATGTTGTGTGAAGTACTTCATGATGGCTGGTATGGCGGTGGTGATTTCTGTGGCTGAATCTCTTTAGTATGGCTATTTGAGTTGGGTAGTATGAGAGATCTCTATAGGGAGAGAGAGACCGGTTTATATAGTTGGACTTGATGAAGTGCTGGACAAAGTTCATGTTGCGGAAGCGAGGTGTGGACCATGGTTGCTGAACATACCCAACAACGCCGCGTACCAATGAGCTGGAACTATGGACCAGAAAAAGTAATATCATCGATTTCCATCCACCAGAACCTCGGATTGCAGCATCAGTTGTTCCTGTTATGATTCGTATCATCTTCCTTTATCGTGATTGGTGCGATCTCGCCGAGGAATGGGAACTAACCCCAATTTGGAAATATTTGCTAGCGTCTGTAGATGCGACTAGCATTTGTAATACTCAAGATGCGCACGAGAACTTCGAGAGAGTATAAGTAAAGGTACGGACTGCAGAATTGCATTTCGCAGAACAGTCGTTCCTATCCTCTGATCTTCCCTAACAACCTTCTACGTTCAGTTAAAAGCCAAGTCTTGTCATCAGCTCACCATGTCTACACACTCCGCCGTTGCAACAGTGGCTAAGAAAGCGCCTCTTGAGATCATCCAAGTTCCCACTAAAACTCCGGAAGCGCAGCAGGTCCGCCTTCGTGTTGAGTGGACTGCTTCCACGCCCCTCGATCTACATCAAAACGACGGAGCCTTACTCGTAAAGCACCCTCAGGTCCTTGGCGACAGTGTCGCTGGTACCGTGGTCGAAGTAGGAGCGGGAACCAAGAGACTCAGGGTTGGAGACAAAGTGTTCGGCTTTACCTGGAAGACCCAAGCTCAAAAGGCCTATCAGGATTTCTGTACTACAGACGAATGGCTTCTGGCCAAGGTAAGCTACACCCCATCTTGTCGATTTGTCAGGTAAATGCTGAGGTGTTGTAGTTACCTGAAGGCTTCACTCCGATGGAGGCTGTGACGCTTCCTAATAACTTCGTAACTGTGTTCCACTCTCTTACGACAGATCTGGGCCTCGAAACACCCTGGCCGAAACCCGAGGACTATGTGCCTGACAATGCCGACTCTGCGATATTGGTCTGGGGTGGCTCCTCGTCAGTGGGTCAATTCGCCATCCAGATTCTGCGCTACTACGGTTACAATAACATTCTGGCGACAGCGTCTCAGAAACACCACGAGAAGCTACACGTCCTTGGCGCGCACAAGGTCTTCGACTACAACAATCCAGATGTCGTCGAGTCTATCCTGAAGGCTGGTGGTGACCACAGAGTTCCAGTAGTCTATGACTGCATCGGCAGCCTGAAGGGTAGCATCGCACCAATCGCCAAACTGGCGAAGAAGGGTTCCAAGGTCGCCATACTCCTACCCGTGGTTATTCGTGACTCGACCGACACCGAGGATCCAGAGTATGAAATGGACGTAGGCAAAGTGGCCAAGTGGAACGACGGGGTCGATATAAGAGGCGTTCGAACACATTTCTACCAAGAATTGAGTCATCCTGGTTTCCTGTCAGAGCAACGCAGCTAACACTCCCCAGAATGAGTTCTTCAAACACCATCTTCAGCCCGACATCATGCCCACTTTGTTGAAGGATGGAGTCGTGACGCCGCAAAAGCAAAGGATCGTTGAGGGCGCGACGCTGCTGGAGAGGGCGCAGAAGGCGATGGACATGCTGAGACGCAAAGAAGCGAGCATGGAGCGTCTTGTCTGGCGTGTCAGCGACGCATAGTTAGTACAGTAATGAACAGTCTGCCATCATCTCCTGTGTACCTGCAAGTCGGGTGGAGAGCGTGAAGAGACAGCTGAGCAGTTGGCCTGTGGCCGAATGGCTGCCCAAGTGGGCATGACGCGCTTACCGAAACGAGCCGCTAGCGCGCTTTGATCACTGGGCATTCGACTGTGGGCATCTCTGACCCCAACACCAGTCAAGAATACATGAACGAGTGAAAATTTCAAACAATGCGCTTTGCGACCAGGTGCCACGGGCTGTGTCTTTCACGCTGCCTGTCTCTCTCTCCCCATTGTTCGTATGCAGGTGCCTCGGCATCGCTACGATCACCAGTCGTTGTCCAGGTCTGTACAAGTGCACGCGGAAGCTAATCGAACCCGCACGATGATCGCTACACTACTCACATTTAGATGGAAGTTGAGGGTATATTCGAATGCCCAAGGCTATAATGAGATATGGCTAAGCTTTCTCGGCAACGGTATCCCCCATGTCTTTGAGAAATCTACGAGCAGACAAGCTATTCGAAGAGCGCAGAGCTTGTGTGGCCTTCATGAAGAGGGGTAGCTTGTGGCCGACCGCGTGCGAGACCTTCGCATTAGGAGCCACTCTGTATCAAACACTAGATCAAGCGACCTTCTTTACGGCATCCGGTCCACCCTTAGCAGTACTCTTACAGAGCCATGCTGTGCAATAAACGCTATTCCAAAGTAATGTGGCACCGTCTAATTACCGCGAAGTTATTCGGTCTCCGGCGCCGCGAAAAGGCAAGAAGGATGCATGGGAATGACCCAGATCCGCTATGCAATACATGCGAGCACTTCGCATCGACCGGACACACACAGCACTGACACCTGGACCGGACACCGATCTCCACTCACTGAGCTTTTCATAACCTCGGAGATAAACTCGTGGTGTTGACGAAGGATCGAGGCGACTCAGCATCATCGCACGCGAGATTGAGCGGCTCCACCAATTTCCGAGGGCTAGCGCGCACCGAAGCCGCCTTTCGATCAAGCCACTGCCACCGGTTCAGTCTGATTTCATCCAACGCAGGACAACAACTCTTCGAACTCTTCATATGGCGTTCAATGCATCGCAGAAAAGGTAGCGCGCGGTATCGATACACATGACGCAGTTGAAGATCCTGCAATATGGCCGACCAGGTCGGTGGGGAGCGCCACAATCGCATGCATTAAGCCTCGGAGCACCTGAAACCCACCGTACGCTCGCGACCGTTTCAACCCAGGATCATGGGCGCTTCTACCAGGTAGGACGGTTCGTCTATACTGCCGTCTAGGGTTAGCCACTTACGAGAACCGGTTGGTTTCCTGTCAACAGGCATGGTGGCCGCTGTCGCGGGAACTTGTTTGCTTGGCCTGCAGTATCGAACGGCGCCCTGCGATCTTAGTCACGACAGGGCTTCCTGTGACTGGTGGATGAACCGGTTCAAGCATGACAAGAGGACCCACGCCACGTCTGACATCTCAGGAACAGGCAGGGCGTGGGAGTCGTTTGAATCGGGGGCACAGTAAGCGCTGTTCGAGGCTGCAATCCATCGGTCACTTGTTTCGCATGTTTAATGACACGGCCCACAGATTGAGTGGTGAACAGGAATAGTGCCATGCCGCCGTATCGTATATAGGTATCTTGGTACTCTTGGGTTTCCTCCATCAAACAACAGTTTCTTCACTTCCAACCACAGCTTCCTTGTGCATCTTAGGTCCGAGACCTCACGTTCTTTTCAACACCACATTCATTCATCACACTCGTTCACGAAGCTAGTCTTCCGTCGATCTATACAGCAACTCTCGCTCTTCTCAAACAACCCAACAACAATCACAATGAAGTCCTACACTGTCGCCGCCGCCATTGCTGGCTTTGCCTCTTCCGTCGCCGCCCACGGCTTCATCAGCGAGCCCGCTCCTCGTATGCCCGGTGATGGCCTCAAGGCTGCCTGTGGTGACCAGTTCTACAACACCCAGTCGTCTGACCACTACGGCAACGTCCAGGGTGCTCTCCAGAACCTCGGACAGGGTGACCACCCCGACTGCCGCCCGTGGCAGTGCAAGGGTGTGCCATTCTCCGATGCTGGTGAGATCTTCGAGTACACCGCCGGACAGGTCATCCCCATGAAGGTTGAGATCCGTGCTCCTCACGACGGTGTCGCCAACGTTTCCATCGTCAACATCGCTACCGACAAGGTCATCGGCGAGCCTCTCATCAGCTGGGACGAATACGCCCTCACCTCGTCTCCCATGTCTGCTCACCCCGACTGGACCTCGTTCGACATCACTATGCCCGATGTCAGCAAGGAGTGCGCCAACAAGGGTGACTGTGTCATTCAGTGGTTCTGGGACGCCCCCAAGATCGACCAGACCTACGAGTCTTGCATTGACTTCACCATGGGTGGTGGCTCCGGCTCCGGCAACGGCTCTGCTCCCGCGCCTTCAGCTTCTCCCAAGCCCAGCGCTCCTGCTGCTTCCGCCCCGGCTGCCAGCTCTGCTGCTCCCTCCAGCACCGTCCCTGAGGCCACTGCCACCCCCACTCCTACCGCCGCTGAGGAGGCCGCTACCCCTGTCGCCACTGGTGGTTCCGACTCTGGCTCCGACTCCAGCCTCCCTGAGTCCTTCACCATGGAAACCTTCATCACCTGGCTCCGCGCCAACGCTGGCACCGGTGTCGCTGACAAGGTCCGCCGCGTGGTAGCTGCCCAGCGCGCTCACCCCCGTGCTTTCCGCGTCTAAATCGCTTAGACGGACGCCTTGTACGATCGGTACGGCATACAAAACTTATTGTGTAGGGAGGAGAAGATGGCTAGAGTTACTGTTCGATTCTGTTGTAAATATACAATTCAATGATGCACATATTTGCTCGCCTTGCGCGGCGCTATAAACCTTGTCGAAACGTGCTGCTTGTGATGTGCCCTCTACTTCATCTCTTACTAACCTTCTGAGATTCGTGATTATCGGTGACAAATTGGAGGTTTGCAGCTTCGCGAACGGTGATCAGACTTGGCTGCTTTGCTTTGTCCTTAAGAAGAATGGGGAGGTAGGGCAACAGAGTTATCGGCTTCGCGGTTCCGCCAATGACGTCACCATCACCGAGAACACGCGACGCGTCTCCGGCGTGTCGGCCACCTAGGTACTTGTTAAATCCACCACCCTTCTCGCATGCGCATCCACTATCCAAATATATCATCGTATGGCTGCGGAACGAATGATATAGTATTGATGATTCATTAAACTACGGGCTAACAATAGATTAC